AATTCGGGAATTCCTAATTTCAAAACAAGACAGCATACAAGTACGCCCAGATATTCGAAAGAAAACCCTGATCACGAAGAAATACAAAAAGAATTTGACTCAGGCTTTCAATCTTGACTTTTTAGCAGTGACAATAACTCTTCTGACAGTGACAAAAGCGATAGTGAAGATACCATTACAGAAAAAACATTAACTGAACAAAATCCAAATAAAAGCTTAAATAATTCTTTGACTAACGAAATTCAAACAAACGACAATTCTGACAATAATTCCCTTAACAGTACTGAAAATAATAACATGGCTCTACCAAATAATCAACAAGTCTCATTACGCGATGCTGTAGATACAATACCTATGTTTGATGGAAAAAATTTACCATTGTCAATTTTTATTGAAAGTTGTTTAGAAGCAAAATCTATGCTTCCTGACGTTGCACAAGTAGAAACAAATTTAGTTAAATTAATTAGAAGTCGAATTTCGGGTGAAGCAAGAAGAATTATAATAGTAAATAATTTTAATACAATAAAACAATTAACAGAAAGATTAAAACAAATTTACGCGCCAGTAAAATCTGTATGTCAGTTACAAGGAGAGTTAGGAGCAATGTATATGTGGGAACACGAAAATGTAATTTCTTACGGATCAAGAATTGCAGAAGCATCAGAAAGAATATTAGACGCACATATTATTAATAATGAAAATAGAGTAGACGAAGCATTTAAAACAAGTTTAGATAAAGCAACTATCGATTGTTTTTCGCGGGGACTTACACCAGAAATTGAAATACGAATTGGAACAGCTGATACTTTTCAAGCGATATTTAATAAAGCAATAGAAATTGAAAGAAGATTATCATCATACCGTGAACTACGTAAAAGTGAGCATAATACTAATAAAGATTTTGCTAAAACAACAAAAATTAATATTGTTCAAGATAATGTAATAAATTGTTTAGTCTGTGGAAAAAAGGGTCATTTTGCAACAAACTGTTTTCAACTTAATAAAATATCAAGATCAAGACAAGAAAAGTTTTTCTATCCAGACCCACGACAAAATTTTTCAAATCAAAATCGATTCAACTACCAAAATCCAATGTTTAATCAATTTCAACGTCAAAATTATTATAGAAATCCACAACAAAATCGAAGACAAAATAAATTTAGGAAGGTACCACAAAATCAATTCTACACTCCGTTTCAAGATCAAAGGCAAAATCAACATCAAAATTTTTCGCAAAATCAACAACAAAATTTTTTCCAAAACCAACAACAACATTTTTCTAAAGAACCACGAACTAACACTACAACAAGCTTCGCAGATAGAACTCAAATAACTTGTAATTATTGCAAAAAATTAGGACATATTTCCACTAATTGTAAAGATAAGATATGGGATAATAACAATAACCGCACATTTTCAAACATCGCAAACCATTTACATGAACCTATAAAAAAGGATGTACCCTTTTTTTGGACTGATGAACAGCAAACGGCTTTTAATACATTCGTAAACAAACTTCGTGAGGAGCAACCTTTAAAAATACTAGACTTCTCCCAACCAATTATACTAAAAACAGAGGCTTCAGGACAAAATTTATCGCAAGAAGTAATTAACAAAGATGAACCATTAACTAATTTTAACAAAGCAAGTGAAACCAAAGTCAACGCTTTATCCAGAAATCCTTTTAAGAACATTATGGAAGAAAAATTACAAGGAGTAAAAGAAGAAAAAGTTAATATAATTCAAGAAACACAAGAAAATATAATTGAATGTGTGCAAGAAAAAATTGAGGAAAAAGAATATATACATTATATACGAAGAGATTATAGTGCAAGTAGTGAAACTTGCAATATTATTCAAAGGAATCAAGAAAAAATACAAGGAAACAAGAAACGAAACAAAAATGAAACATTAGAAAAGAAGACTCAAGGACTACAGGAAAGGCAGACTCAAAAAGTGCAAGAAAAGAAGAATCAAGAAATTCAAGAAGGAAAAACACATGAGAAATTTTACAATAAAGTTTATATTGACGAAATTGATTCAGATCCTAAGTGTATTCAACAAAAATCAAAATTGAAAAAAACTAAGTTAAAAAATATTAAAAAAATAATATTAAAAAATAACTAAGTTATAATACAGTAATAATAAACTAATTAAACAATAAATTAATTTTGGTATTAATAAATAAATAAAATATAATTTTGTATCATATATAATCAAAAAAATTATATATATAAAATAACATCTGTTAAAAATCTGTTTACAGATGGAAATTCCTGTTATAAGTTGGATTTTAAATGCTAAAGACTACATCACAACAATTAAAGATGGTTTTATACTATTCTTTCAGCTACTCTTACTAATAATAATCATCATCATAGTAAGAAAACTGTACTTGTGCTATTTATTAATAACTACAAGATGGAAAAGAAGAAGAAACCAAACACCAACAGTACAAAATTAATAAAATAAATAAAAAAATAAACGAGTTCAACCACTCCCTTACATTGAGGACAATGTAAAGTCTAAGGAGGGAGGAAAGGTCTTAAAAATCTGCAAAAATTTCAACAATTTTAAGCCCACAAACAACAAAAATAGAATAAAAATAAAAATGAATAGAGCATAAGACAGCATTATTCAAATGAGCGCGCCAGCTTTAAGCACGCATCGATTGTACATCGACCGTGCTCGCACCTCTTTTACTATGCATGGCACACCGCGATGGCCGGATAGTGGTTCCACTCAACCACGTGACTAATGCATATAAGCGCCTCCAGTATAATAGTAATGGAGCTCTCACAGCTCTGCCTGCCTGCGCAGGCAGTAATTGGAGTAAGAGAGAAAATCAATTAGAGTGAAAGAGACAGTAAATTCAAATTTATATGCTGCCTACTAGCTGTGAGAGCGCCTTAAGACGCGCATGCTTTGATTTCTATCATGAAAAAGCGGGAACTGAATTCAAATTCAAAATTCAATTCTCGCTCTTGAATGATAAAATTCTAATACAAAGCTTAATAACAATAAGTCTAACCATATTATTAACAATAACTCTGCATACTATGCTTTAATAATTAACACTAACGCTATAAATAATTAATTAACAAATTAATACAATTATTAATAATATTAATTTATATTTATTTAATTATAATTATGTTTATTAATCTATATTTATTAAATCATAATAATAGTAATTGTTATTGATACACAAATAATAATTAAAGAATTACAATAATGATATTAAATAAATAACAATATTTTATTATATAAAAATCATCATCAAAAAAAAAATTTTGCTTAATTGAAAATATTATTAATACACATATTTAATAAAAATAGTAATAAATATTTAACATAGTTTATTTAAGAATAATATTAATTATTAATTATAAATTACTATCATTATTATTATTATTTATCATAATTATTATTGTCATTTATTCGTATAATTATTCACATTATTAATTATTATTAACTAATTAACTGTCTTAATTAACAACTAATAAAATGTATAACCAAAAAAATGTAAAATAATAATAAATAATTTAATTAATTATCACCTTAAAATAAAATAACAACTTAAATAAAATTATTATTATTAATTAATAATTTTTGGTATACTACAAACCTATATCAAAAATTATTCAAATTTAAAGAAAATAACTTAACATTTAAGGATATCATCAATTTTTAATTTTTAAATAATTATTATTAATAAATAATGACGTTTGAAAGACTCGAATCGAGCCTCAAGTATCATGCAAGTATAAGGAGGGAGGAGTTGACTCGCAGCGCGGAGGAGTGAAAGGCCCCACGCCCACTATCCAATGCTCGCGCGCTGGGTCTTGTGCCTCTCCCCTCATACAGAGCGAAGCGAGAACTGCTCGACCCGCCATATTGTCGGTTAAGACGTATGCTCTTATAAAGCACTATCAACACGCATTTTTACACAAAATTTTAAGTTTCTATGCTCACTCTTGAAACAAATTCATTTTTCAATAAATTATGAATTAATGAATTAAATAAATTTTGAATTAAGTGAGTCTCAAAAAGCAATTTTGGCTAAAAATATTATATTAAATTGGAAGAATTCAATTCTTTTACAATAATGTAAGATGTTTCCCAAAAATCTAATTATTTTTAAATATTTAAAAAAAACTCAATTGTTTATGAAAATTGTAAACTTGATTCTTTGAAGTTCAATTGGTTCATTTGATAGTTTTACTTAAATAAAAATTAATGGATTATTTATTTTTAATGATTTCACACTTTCAACAATAAAAATTCTTTGAAGATGAATTAATTACTAATTTTTAACATAATCTATGTAATTGATTCTTATAAATTGTCAATTTTATTCTATTAATTTTGTTTAAATGCATTATACAACTCTATATAATTGCAGTAATTAATCCAATATAATTATTATTAAACGCTATAAAAATACACAAAGCAAAAATGTAAAATTACAAGCTTTAATTGTACAATTTTCTATGTGTTACGATAAAATTGTTATTCAAATATTGAAGAATTCCCAGAATTATTGATGATTAGAAATATCTAAAAATTCGAAAATATCTTACATCTGTATTAAGAATTCAAATAAGAAATTTGTTTTCGTAAAGTAAGTCAAAACTTTCGAATCATAATAATAATCATACTACATTACAACAAAATCAAAAATTATAATATGCATTAGTATGCATTTCATCAAATATCCATTGAGTAAATAAAATATTCCAAATAGTATCTAATTACTATAAATCTCTTTTAAATAATTGTTCAATCATAATTAAAGAATTAAGCTTTTCGAATTTTCTATTTTAAAAATATAGATTTTTGTAAAAATTAAAAACAACAATTTCAGAATGCAATGATGACATTAGCAACCATTTAAATACAAATTATCAAAATTATAAAAATGTAAAGAAGAAAAACGAAGAAAAACTCTAATTGAATTACAAAAGGGTCTAATAAATGATTCAACATTAATAAGAATGTAATAAAAATCAATTGTTTATTCAAATTATCACACACACATTCATTCTACAAAGAAAAGAAGAAATTTTAAAATAACACACATTTTAATTTGTAACACACTCACATCCTTACACTATAATAATGAAAAAAAAAGAGGAACTTTATAAACATGTTCCGCACATACACAACTTCAGTTTTAAAGGATCTTCATCTAAAGACACTTTCATATCTTCTGGTTCAACGTACCACGAATGACCAGGTTGTGGTTGGAACGAGGGGCCCGGCTGCTGTTGAAGTGACGTGCTAATCAATGGATTCAGTTTCAAAGGGTCCTCCAGAAGTGATCATCATTAGTCACAATTTCAGGCGCAGATATGAATTTCTGCATATCATTGACCCACACCATAGTGTCAGCTGTTTTTTGGGTTCAGATTGCTCTAAACAGATAAAAAACAAACAACAAAATTATTACAAAAATTGTCAAAAATTAACAGGAATGCTATTTTAAACGTATAACAGAAAAATATATATTACCTGTTAATTTCAATTCCTTTTTAATGAGGATAGGTGAAGCCTGACATCCTCCGCAATAGCAATGACTTGGACGATCAGGCCGACTATACAAAATTAAATATATATAAACAAAAAAACAGAAAACAACAAAAAGAAGACAAAAAGAAAATAAATCACTTACAGTACTAAATTCAGCATCGAAGTTAATTGTGCTGAATCCTCCTGAACTTCTTTCCTCAAACGATGCAGCTCTGCAATTCGTATCTTTTTGTCCACTTTAAACCCCGGATGAGTATCTCTTTTTGGACGGCCTGGACGTCCCATCGATTCGAAGCAATCTATTTCCAACAACGAATAATGGACCGCAGCTGCCAAAACTTGAATGGATTTTAAAAATTTCTCCAAATTTATGCTGCAATTTTCTTCACCAGACACTAAATAACAAAAAAAGGGAATATTAAAACTAACACAGATAAAACTTATAACACTTCAACAAAAAAAAAAAAAGGGGATCACACTTCTTACTTTTATTCAACGTCGTGTCTACTCTGTATCTCAAGAAGTCAGCCAAATACTGAAGATGTCCTAGGTGCCACCATCCTTTATAGGGATGCAAAATGCTGAGGATGACAATTTTAATCACCACTACGAGAAACAAAGAGTCAACGACCACCCTGAGAAAAACGAAATCCATACCTACCTTAAGAAGATGATAAAGAAAACACAAACAACACATATCATTACACAACAAACACATAAAATTATCACTTCACATTCTTATCTAGGCGCCGCCGAATGTAATAAGAGCGGAAGGATATTGATGTCACTGCGAACACTGTATGAAAATTATAATTTCTAGGTGATAAAAGACAGTCTCAATTTCAGAATTTTATAGTCGCGACATGGGTATTTAAACGATAAGAATAGAATTTCATCGAGACGATGAAAAAAGTAAGGAGGGAGGACTGTTACATCCCAGGTACATTTTTAAGAAACTGTTTATGTAACTGCGATGTAACTATTTTTATAACATATAATAATCACGTTAAAAGCATTTAATATTCAGAAATTGAGATAGAAGTTATAACTGAAATTCTATACTTCGTCCTACATATTAGAATAATGATTAAAAAACAAAACCAGAGATAGAAATTGACAAAAATAAGAAACAATGCGTTGAGTCAAGGAGTGACTCACGCAAGCTCGCACTCGGCCGCTATGACCTCATTACGCAACCCGAGTTCTGTGAATCACTTCTTGTAACTCTAGCTTCACTTTTTCCATAATTGAGGTAGATATTTAGATCATTTGAATAGTCATTGTAGAGCGACCCTTCAGTTTTTCATTAAAATTTGTATTCTTTCTCTAATCGGCAACTGCAGTTCGAGTTGTACTCGGTTTTTGTGCAAGTCAATTTTGTTTTTCACTTAGAAACAAGTTTCTTTCCGTAAAAGGTGCAAGAAAAACAATTTGACACTTAGAATCAATTATTTAAATGAATTAACTGTCGTATTTTGCGTGTCAAGTTTCATTAATTGTAGTTTTTCACCAATTCTTTCTCTAATTGGCAATTGCAGACCGAATTGTACTCAATTATTGTGCAAGTTGCTTTTCTCACACTTAGAAACAAGTTTCTTTCCTTAAATAGGTGCAAGTGACGATAAGTAACACTTAGAAACGGTATTTAACTCTTGAAACAAACGCAAAAACATTAATAAGTTGTGAAAGTTACATAAGTGTAACATAACAAACTTTCTAAGTTTCATTCAATTGAAACAACTGTTGAAAACCAAACTTATAACGACCTGCGCTATTATTGAAATCTACGAATAAACCTGTAATTAAAAGTAAGTAACAATTGTATAATTATTGTAATCATACTATTTAATATTTAAATAAATTATAAAAAGGGAATATTTGTGTTGTTGTAACTCAAAACCCGTAGTTTTGACAAGTACAAACGATCCTACTTAAAAAATAAAGGTCAAGCTTTACCAACTTGACCATAATCAGCCTACCATTCCTCCAAAATTCTATAACCTAACCTAATAACCTCGCCTTCTGCTCGGAATGTAACATTGCGAAAAGCTATTTTTGCGAATTGTCATTTTTGCGAAATTTCACTTTTAAGAAATGTCATTTATGCGAATTGTCATTTTTGCGAATCGCCATTTTTACGAATTGTCACTTTTCCGAAAAGGCATTTTTGCGAATTGTCATTTTTGCGAAAAATACAATAGTGAATCTATATATACCTACAAGTTTACTATTGTATTTTTCGCAAAAATGACAATATGTAAAAATGACTTTTCGCAAAAATGACTATTCGTAAAAATGGCTTTTCGCAAAAATGACTATTCGCAAAAGTGCAGTTCAGTAAAATGACATTTGGGTAATAATCATGCGCCCCCTAAAGCACCTGATGGAGGTAAACTTCCCGGACTTTAGAAAAAGTTCGGAGGACACCCATGGCATAGGACCAGGTAAGAACTGAGGATATCGGGAAAACTGAAAACTAGCAGCTAGGGTCGTTACTCCAAAAGGGATTGATTGGGCAATAAGCACTTTCAAACCATTTAAGGCTTCAGGGGGGACGGTATATATCCGGATCTTTTGCAAAAAGGATTGGAATGTATTAGAGTACCCCTGTGTAAAATTATGAGAGCGTGTATAGCTCTTGGTTACACACCGGAGTCTTGGAAAAAGACGAGGGTTGTGTTTATTCCGAAGGCCGGTCTTAACTTCTTTTATATTAAAGACGTTAGAGAAACTGGTGGATAATTTTATTAGGCAGGAATGTCTTAGATGTCATCCCCTACATCAGGGACAGCATGCATATAGAGCAGGCTTCTCAGTAGAAAGCCCTCCATTCGGCAGTAGGTAGAATAGAGGGACAGCTAGGATGCGAGGTGTGCCCGAGCCGCTAGTTAAGTGGATCGACAGCATGCTTCGCGAAAGGGCCCTTGCAGCGGAGTATGCTGAGGCTAAGGTAACAGGCCTTGTCTCAAAAGGGTGCCCACAAGAAGGAGTCCTCTCTCCTTTATTGTGGTGCTTAGTGGCAAAAGAGTTAATTAGAAACCTCAATAGCCAGAGATATTATACGCAAAGTTATGCGGATGATTTCCTTATAATTATAAGAGGGTACGCAATCGAGACCCTCTTCGAACTTGTGGAACCTGCACTTAAGATTGTCAAGGATTGGTGCAATCTAACTGGACTTTATGTATACCCAGAGAAAACGAATATAGTAGTTTTCACAAAAAATTATAAGGTACCGAGTTTGTAGAAACCGATATTTTATGGAAAAGAAATTTTTTTTCTGAATCGGCTAAGTATCTGGGAGTAATCCTGGATAAAAAGCTGATTTAGAAGGAACATTTCGAATATCAGTATAGAAGGTTCTGTACTGCTTTTTGGGCGTGTAGAAGGGCGACTGGGTCATCGTGGGGACTAAGGCCTAATATGGTCAACTGGCTCTATCAGATGATCTTAAAACCCAGGTTTTTTCACGCGGTGGTTGTTTGGTGGTCTAGGACTCAACTGATAACGGTTAAAGAGAAACTGGACCAACTGCAAGCAATGATTTTCAGGGGTATTACGGGAGCAATGAGGACAACGCCAACAGCTGCGTTGGGATTCATGCTAACCGAGGTACCTCTGTATGTTGCCGCGGTGAAAAAGGCGGCTCTTACTATAAGCAGGTTAACCCCGCAGGGAAGGTGGAAGTTTGGTCGTATACACACCAAGCTTCCACGCTCAATTCTATCAATCCCAGAATTAAGTATGGCGCAAGATAGAATGTTCAAGGGGGTGAAATTTAAACCCCGCTTTAAGATCATTACACAATTAAATCATCACATTACCATTACAGAATGGACTGGAAGAAAGGTTTTCCACTTGGGGACGAAGTCTGGTATACAGACGGTTCCAAGATGGACTTCGGTGCAGGCTTCGGAATTTATCGAAAAACTGGGTGCATTAAAATGGCTGAATCACTAGAACAATATGCCACGGTCTAGCAGATAGAGGTCTCTGCGATTTTAACTTGCGCTTAAATATCCATTCGAAATGGAACAAAGGGCAAGAGGATTAGTATTTGTGTGGATAGTCAGGCGGCCTTAGGGGCTCTAAAAATCCCACAATAGAATCAAAACTCGTCTGGGAATGCCGCAGCGTACTAGATGAGTTGGGTTTAGCAAATAAACTTTTATTGATTTGGGTACCGGGTCACTCGGGAATCAAGGGTAATGAAAGAGTAGATGTCTTGGCGAAAATCGGTTCCGAAACAAAATTTATAGGTCCTGAACCAGCAGTGGCAATAATGGCGTGCTTGGTTAAGGGAGCCATATAAAGATGGGGTCAAAGGGAACATGATAAGTATTGGGCGAACGTTGGGGTGGGAAGGCAAGCGAAAACTCTGTTAGGCTAACACTCAACAAGAAGCGAGCGAGCGATCTTCTAAAACTCGATAAGATCAGACTTAGAACCGTAGTTCGTCTACTTACGGGTCATGGACTATTGAATTACTATCAGCATAAAATAGACAGACAAGTTTCACCTATGTGCAGACTGTGTGGAAAGAGTAACGAAACTTCGACTCACATATTATCTGAAAGCCCAGCGCTAGCTAGGATTAGGCTATCTAGTTGGGGTCAAGCAATTATTGACCCTAAGCAGGTGAGCAACCTATCGATAGAAGAGATACTGGACTTCTGGAGAAGAACAGGACTCTAAAAGGTTGCTATAAACGAGCAAGCTGGAGTCTGGTACAATGGGTTTTTAAAGCCTAAGTGCTTACTTTCCCCTCTTTGGGAAAATCCAGCTCGATCTCGGTGTTAGATTAGATTCACTTAAAAAGACCATATCCCATTGTTTCACCACATTCCAAAACCCTATTTTCATATTTCCTTGTTTGTTCCTCCTCCCGCTCCTTCTGCGTCCTCAAAATCCATTCCCAGCCCCTCCTTTACCACCTGTCCCCTCTCCTCGTCAACCCACCATTGCACCCCATTTACCCATATACATTCTTTCACAAACTTTACCTTTTTACCCTTACCCCACTCTTCCCATGCTTTACCTTGTAACAACCATCCTACTCTCCTTTCCCTTAACGTTTTATCCTTCTCTATTCTTTCCGGTTGCCCTTTTAGTCGCTTCTTCAGCATCATTATTTCTCTTTTTTCCTCTTCACTTTCCACATACAACACCCACACTTTCGGCACTTCTATATCATCCCCTCCAACCGCTCTTACTCCTTTAATGTTTGCTTTTGCTCCTATTTCTAGCAGCAATCTATTTATTTCATTTTTTCCCTCCTCTTTTTTCACTTTAAGTCCTTTTATAACGATGCTACACTTACTTTTTTCTTTTTCCAGCCTTTCTACTTGCTTTCTTAATTCTCCCATCTTTCTTTCTATCCCTTCATCTATTTGCACTTTCCTTCCTCCACTACTACAACCTGACACCACATTTTTCTCCAATTCCTCCACTCGCTTTTCCAAAATTTTCACTTCATCTTCTTTTTCTCTCTCTATTCTTTTCTGTTCTCATTCTAATCTTTCTAATTTTCTCATAATTCCATTCTTTTCTTTACTCCATTTGTTCTCCCACTCTCCCCACATATTCTTAATAGACCCAATATTGGATCTATCCTCTCATTCGTCTCTTTACTTATCCTTATCATAAGAAAAGCAAGCTCCTGAAGACTCTTTTCTTCCTCTTCACCTTCATAGTTTTCATTTCCCTCTTCCTTTTCTTTTTCGCTTTTACTTATTTCCTTTGATTTACTCTCTATTTTTTACCCAATCTAGCTAGTCTAATTTGGCTTTGCCATTTTCACCGATGAACTTCTTGTAGCCTTCGTGGTACCGAATACTTCGTCGTCGCCTACACTCTCCGCCCCTGACTCACCGGCCTCTCTCACTTTCTATTCTTTCTCTCTCTCGCTTTTCTCCTTTTCACTTTCCAGTCGCTCCTGCCTTCTCTCATCTTTCTTTTCAAAACTCTCCATACTTCCTCCTAGCACATGACACACACCCACTCTCTCTCTCTCTCCCACACTCGCACTTCTCTCTCACTTTCAATTCTAACCTTCAATACTCACTTATTTTTTCGTGCCTTTTTCTTCACACACACTGACTCAATTTCTCTTTTTATCAGATATACTCACACAGCTCACCTTTATTTTTACTCACACTAACACTACACTACCCTCCCTTGCACAAAATGCCTTTAAAATTGTCTCAAAATATACCGTCATTACTCACGACTATACTGTGACGAATCCGGAAACGGAAGCCACAATAATATTATTATTTTACCACAATAATATGTAAAAATAATTTTTTTATTCAGGTATTTTTAAAAAATGTAATTTATTTTCAATTTAAAAAGTTTCACTTTGTTGGTGTCTAACTAGTATTTTTGTTTTAATTTTCGACTAAATTTGTATGCAATAAAAAATGTTTGCGTTAAAAGTTCACAGTAAAAAATTTTTCTTTAGATTTAAATTTTTGTTACGGAATTTTATTGAAACTGGTAAAATTTCGTCCAAAGCAGAGAATTCAAATTTCCTTGTGTTAGATTAATGAAACAAATTATACAATATTTCTTGAACAAAAAGTTAAAATTGAAAACTTTCCAAGTGTGAAATATTGTCTTCTGAGTAATAAACAGTTTTTTTCTTCAAATAATCGTTGATGATATTAAAAGAATTAGTCTAACATAAGCAAATTTGAAATCTTTGCTTTAGACGAAATTCAAACAGTTTCAATAAAATTTCTTAACAAAAATTTAAATCTAAAGAAAAATTTTTACTGTGAAGTTTTTACTTTTAACAAAAACATTTCTTGTTTACGTAGAAATTTAGTCAAAAATTAAAGTAAAAATACTTTGTTAGTTAAACACTAACAATGTAAAATTTATTTAATTAAAAATGAATTACATTTCTTAAGAATACCACTGTTCCCTATTTAATAACTTGAAAAATTGTTATCTAATCTACTTCAACCTTTTGCATAATTAATCTTCAATATGTTTTTTAGTAATATCATAATCGAAAAAAAATTTTAATTTAAAACAAAAGTTGTAATTAAATTGCAAATGTTCAAAAAATGCACATTTGTCGAGAATCCACACATGAATCATGAAGTTTAATATGTTTTATTTTGCACAAACTTTATTTT